GTCCCGGCGGTGGGAGCGTCTGGCAGACACTGTGCATACATTTGGCTCCGCGGCTCACACACACAGGGCCTGTTCCTTCTGGCTCCTCTATTCTGTTTTATGTGCCGCCATATTGCAGCTGACGGTGCCTCAGCCTGCAACCCCGCACATAATCACATTGTGTTATTTTTTTATTTCTTTTTTTTTTTTTTACGTAGCCAATCAAAGCGAGTTTAAAATAATTATGTCGCATCATGTTGGCAGTTTACGGCGTGTGTTTCATGGAACCTCAAGGGCTTGTGCAAAGAGGTGTTCCAATATGCTCTTCTACTTGTTCTTGCTCAGTTTCGTTTACATGTAAGCCCTTATAGCGCCTCAGAATTAGTCTTGAGTTGTTAATTATCGTTGTCACGTAGCTCCATTCAGCATTTTTTCAACTAACCGTCAAACACATGTACCTGGAGGTGTATGTTGCTTCATTCACATGTTTAATGAATCTCCCCCTGAGCAGTCGCAAAACACATTTGAAATTTCTAGGGGTGTGCAAAAGTATTGAAATATCGATATATCGTATCTAGGAATGTAACAATATCAAAATCTTTGTGTACGATATTTTCAAGATATACAGCTCCCCGTATAGTATTTATTGTGATATTTCGTGGAGGTGAACAAAATTGTCAATAAGCTACTTTTTCCTCTTAAAATGCCTCGACAAGACTTAATCCAAAGAACTAAAAATTGTAAAGTAAAAGGGTTTAGAACTGCTATTTCTTCATGTAGTTTGCACCAAAACGGAGCAAAACATCCTGGTCGATGTAGTTCCCTCTGTTTTTTTAGCTATTGCTGCACCAAAACAATGAATTTAAGCAAATAAACTTGTGATTCGATATATTGTGATGGTCCACGATATTATTGAGAGACTTTTGAAAATACAATATCATGATATTTTGGTTATTGTTACACACCTAATCGTATCATTTAATTTGATGATACAGTATCAATATCATGGGCTGCTGTATCGATTTATCGCCAAGAGTAATACTTGGTATATTTTACTAAATTATTTTGTGTAAGAGCTACAAAAGTGTTGACATTTTCACTGTTTTGATGAGTAAAATTGGTGTTTTTCATACGAACTTTGCACCAACATAGTAGATTTAATACGCTTTTAGTATCACAGTCTTTTTTTCACTGAACCATATCAAATCTATGTGAAAGATATCATATCTAATCGTATCGAATTGAAAGCTCACTGTATCGAGAAGTGTATCGTATCATGGCTTGTGTAGTCGAGGTATGTATCGTAACGACATCTTGTTTTCTTTTTGACGTTTCATGGAACCTCAAGGGCTTGTGCAAAGAGGTTTTCCAATATGCTGTTCTACCCAAGTGGGTTTAAGGTTTTTGGCTCAGTTTCATTTACATGTAAGACCTTAAAGAGGCTCAGAATTAGCCCTGAAATGTTATATATCATTGTCAGGTAACTCCATTCAGCATTTTTTTCAACTAACCATCAAACACATGTACCTGGAGCTGTATGTTGCTTCATTCACATGTTTAATGAATCTCCACTGAGCAGTCGCAAAACACTTGATTTGTAATTTCCCGTCATTGTCGTGTCACAGGTAGAGATCCTGTGCCATTTTTAAGTAACTAAACCGTATCATACCATAAACCATTGTTTCCCATAACCCGCATCCCTCAGGTGGGTCGCGAGAAATTTTTGTGGGGTTCCCTTGTCATGATCTGCATGTAGGTTGAAATGTTAAGACATGTTTTGTATAATTTCGAATCTTTTTGTAATTATTGTATTGACTATTTTGTTCCAATATTGCTGGTTCAATTGAATGTTGACAAGAAAAAGAAATGTGCTACATTTAATGACCAACTTATGGATCTTTTTATTGCTGGTTCAATTACTGTTTTTCATTGTTCAAAACTTGAGTAGTTGACTGAGTGATCGTGTCTCTCTGAACGAATTGTTCAGAGAGACACGATCACTCAGTCAACAATACAATATCTGAAGGTTTGTGACTTTTAAAATATGGATCCCCAGAAAAAAAGTTTGGGAAACACTGCCATAAAGTGAAATAAATCAGCAGACCCATTCAAAACATTGAATTAGTTAGGTAACATTGGTTTTCCCCATGTTGATTCTCTGTGCTGCTCGTAGATGTAGCTCTACACCAGCTCAGTGTATGAAGCTGCGAAATACTGTGAGATTCTTTAATTAGCCATACCAGAATGTGGCCCATACTTAGTCATGTAAAAATGGGCAAGGTACAGACCCGAGGCACACGGACTGATTATATTAAAAGGCCTTTATTAAATAAAGTAGGACGCCCACATGTTTGAACCAGCTGGCCGTTCTTTGGATAATATGTGTTCTTGAAAAAGCTGCAGCTAAACTGTCCATTACTGTCACGGTCATGATTCATAATATTGTCATTTATGGTTGTGGGGACCTCAGTTTGGATATTGAGTTATTCTTATAACTCATGCGTTTGCTTATCAATACAGATAATTATGTTGTCCTATCAATCTCACTCTCTTAAAGGCCCCACAAATCATTGATTTACACTGTCTCTGTTACTTGTTCAAGTGCATTGATTAAATTCCTGCAACATCCTGATGACCTATTTATATCATAGTGAAGATGACCCTTATATATCATGTAAGTGGACACTGTAATGTGAAGATGGACAAACACTTTATTGCCTAATACAGTTTTCTGAACACATCAGTTTTCATGCCCTGTGCTTCACAATTGGAATGTAACAATAATCGAAATATTGTCATCTTATTGTCAAAAGTCTCTCAATAATATAATATAATATATCAAATTACGAAATCCTTTGCTTAAATGAATTGTTTTATAGTAGCAACAGCTTATAAACATTGGGAACTACATATCCCATGATTCATTTCAGTGCAGACAACACGAAGAAATATGTTTTTTACTTGAATTCTTCGGATTATGACGGAAATAATTCACATCAAAATCTTGTCAGGGTATTTTAAAAGCAAAAAAGCATCCTATCTACAATTTTATCAGCCTCTCCAAAATATTGCACATCGTGAAAATATCGTACTGAGAGATTTGGATATTGTTACATCCCTACTTCACAATGCAGCAGTAATTCATAAAGAACAATATAAAATAATGCGACACACAAAAAGATACAACTTGTGTCATTTAATATAATACTACAACAGTAAAGGTGTACAGTGTCATTTTCTGGTGGTCCACAACCTTTGCCTGGAATATTCCAAAGTATGTATCGTGCATTTATTTATTATTCAATTACAGGTAATTTTATTGCTAATAAGTAAGTAAGTAATGTATTTTTGGACTATAAGGCACACTTAAAATCCTTAAATTTTCTCAAAAATCGACTTGTAATCCTGTGCACCTTATGTATTAATTCTGATTATGCTTACTGACCTCGAACTGATAGTTAGTCTAAGTTTATTTTTATATTTATTTCTTTCATTAAGTATAAAAAGACCTCAACAGTGTCGCAACATCAAACATACAAGAATGAATGAAAAGGAGCAGAAAGAAGAGAAATCATATGTTATCTGCCTCCTTTTCCATTTTCCAGACAAAACATCAACACTAATAGTTACTTTAAAACATTTCAAACAGTACATTTTAGTTCAGGCACAATTATTGATCAACTGCAAACAGAAATCTTCACTATTATGCACAACAACTTAGTTTTCTTTTTCGTACATGCACATTGCTTCGATTTTGTGTTTTTTAAATGCCGTCATTGTACTTGATTCTTTTATATCTTTGTTAAGATTATTCCATAAGTGAACTCCTTTCACAGCGACGCTTCTCTCCATAACCTTGGTTCTGAATCTGGGTTTTTAAACATATAGGTTCCTTTTAAATTGTAGTCTTCGTTCTCATCTCAAATAGACTATTTACAGAATATTTACAGGCACTTACATGGCACTTTGCTTTATACATGACTTTGAGGATACGTAAGTCAACAATATCATGCATTTTCAACACTTTAAGATGAACAGTTTAGTTTATGCAAATGAACTGTGTGGCTTTAAGTTTTGTTTTTGTAAAATGTAAACAAATGTGCGCAAAGCTGCATTAAACCCATTATTACTCAATGTATATCCTCTTCATAGAAAATAAAAAAAACTTAAATTATCCACCCACATTCACATTCATAATACACATTCACCAAGACGGAGGCAACGCCAGCGAATAACGCCACGATCTGCCAATGGATCGTGGACGCCTGGGCTAAAGGATCGGTCTCAAGTATCGTCCGTTTGTTTCGCGTAATGCCCCTTGTAATCCGGTGCGGCAAATATATGAAAATAGACGAGAAAATTCAGCATTTATGATATTGCGCCTCATATTTCCATGCGTTTTATAGTCCGAAAAATAGGGTAAGTAAGTTTTATTGCTAAGGGATGTCTTGAAAAACATGGATTCTTACCATGAGTGGGATCATGACAAATATGACCTCAAAGAGACACCTGCTTATCTCCATGCACAGAAAAGTTTAATGGAATACAGTTTGAAAAGCAATAACAAGAAGGTGACAGACCCTTTACAAGAAAATATACGTGTCCTTATTTTTCCTCGAAACCTCTCGTAAAATCTAGTGTTTTTTTTCCCCTCTACACTGTCAGTTCATTCTTTTTGCCCTGTGCCGTTGGTCCGTGAACTCGCTGGCTTCAGATTGGCTCAACGAACCAGGCCGCTAAATATAGTACCACGCGGCTGACATTGATAATCTGCGCTAATGACACACTAACAGTAGCCCTCTCCGCTCCAGAGTGGCAGCTATATCATGAGCAGCTGTCTGGGGCCGAGAGCTCTCACCCCACTGCGCCATCTCCAATTTGACACCAGAATAAGAATTTTCCAGGCCCGTAATACCGCACGCCATTATGAGTTTGGAAAATTCAAGATGGAGGGAAAGGTAATGAGTATTCATGAAGACATATTTGATGAGGTTCTCTCTCTTGTGCCTTCTCGCCCGCAGGCTTTTGTCAGCGCCAAGCACGAGGAGGACAAGGTCATTGTGTTTGACAGGGCCCAAGTGGTGTTCGTCTTCAACTTCCACCCCAGCAAGAGCTTCCAGGACTACAAAGTGGCCGTGGACGTTCCAGGGAAGTATCCTTTTTTCCGGCCCGGCGTCTGCTGGGTTTGGCGGAGTTTTGGTACGGTGCATTGCAACTAGAACGCGAGAAATTGTTTTGGGGGCTTTGTTTGGAAGATATTTATTCAACCTGACACTAATGTATAAAACGACTGGCTGTCTCCCCTTTTCATCTGATTTTCTGGTACTTTGTTTAAGTTGTTATTTTAAATCTGGATGGATTTTACACAGTGGACCATTCACTTACTTAAAATCCATATGACAGATTTTCATGATTATCTAATATTTACTTAATTGTAAATATACATTTCTAGATTTGCACTAGGGATGTAACAATAACCGAAATATCGTGGTATCGTATCGTCAAAGTTCTCACAATAATATCGTGGACCATCACAATATATTACATCAGGGGTGTCCAAACTTTTTTCATCAAGGCCCACATATGTAAACACAGACGAAGCAGAGGGTCGATTGAGGGCAGCAGACTGATGCTCAATACAGGGAATAATTGAAATATGTGCATGTTTAACACGTTAGAATGAGCCATCAGTCTTTAATCATGCTAAGATCCTTAAAATATAAAATAAAAGATCCTAAATATTAAATATTAGCTTCATCAAGGTAGATTTAAAAAAAAAAAAAACTTGCAGTAAAAAATTATTTTATTATTATTTATTATTTTTATTGATGTGAGGTAATTTGGGCCAATTCACCTGGAAGCCTGAGGGCCAAGAAACATTTGTCTGAGGGCCACATTTGGCCCCCGGGCCATAGTTTGGACATGCCTGTATTACATATTACAAGTCTCTTTGCTTAAATTAAGAGTTATTGTGCAGCAATATCTACAAAAAGATAGAGGGAACTAAATAGACCATGATCCTTTGCTCCATTTCAGTGTAGATTACAAGAAGAAATAACAGTTCTAAGCACTTTTAAGTCTTAGTTCTTTGAATTAAGTCTTGTCAAGGCATTTTTAACAGTTTTGTTAGTCTCCACAAAATATATCGCAATAAATATCTTACATGTGAAAATATCGTGAAAATATCGTACTGAGAGATTTAGATATTGTTACATCCCTCATCGTGAGCTTTCCCATGATATCACAATAAATATCGTACCGTGAGATTCATACCGTGACGATATCGTATCGTGAGACTTGGATATAGTTACACCCCTATTTTGCACCAATCAAGAAACGATTTGTGAAGAAAAGTTGAGAAATATGTTGAAAATTGCAGGAATCAGAGAGTTCTAAAACACACTGGGAAGAATTCTATCAAAAATTTCGGCGCAAATTACACGTGAAAACACATTTTTCACTTTAAACAGGATTTCAACAAAATAAAGGTGCTTTCTTATATTTGTATTTGTAAGATCATAATTTCACTGTACATTAGAGGAGCTTTTCTGGTAAAAGTTATGAAGTTCCTTAGTATAATGTCACAATTTCCATCTAGAAGGTAAAATTTTAAAACAAGTGTGAATGTTTTTGCAGCAATCTTAAATATAATGACCTTAACTAAGTTTTAGTAAAATGAGTCATCTAACTTGTCATAGTCTCTTTAATTTTTAATACTCCCACACTACTATTAGCACAACCACTATTCTGTTCCTATATTTAGTAAATGTCAGTATTCTTTGTATCAGCAAACTATAGTTTAAATATCTCAGGTGAATGAATGTGACTTAATTTTTGACATCTTCGAATCTTTGAGTGTGTAGGTCCGTATCTGTGTAGGTCTGTATCATTTCAGAGGTTTACACAAAGGTTATGAGAAGAAATATTGGTGGGACGAGACACAATTTTCTCGAGATGAGACTGAGATCGGGTCCATGAGAATGAGACAAGACAAGATTTTGACATAATTTATAGTACCGTATTTTCCGGGCTATAAAGCGTTCTGGATTATAAGACACACCGTCATTAAATGGTCTATTTCAGAACTTTTTTCACAAATAAACCGCACCAGATTTAAACGAAACGCAACATTTAGATGGGTCAGTCGGACTTTGTTTGGCGCGTTCACTGTGATTCTCGGCTTTGTTCAGGTGTGGCGTGTAGGGAGGGTGCTGTCTGGGACCGCTGGATTGTTGGCGTGTTCGCAGTGACTCAGTTGTTCAGTTGTGGCTCAGAAAGGCACATTGCACTCGCTTTTTCGGTTCGTTTCTTCTTTCCATTCCTCGTCGGCGTGGAGTGATGAGTGTGGCTGCGCGCGTTTTTCGCTGTGCGGTCACTGTCTGCTCCGTGTGTGTTTGCGTGCGCTGCGGGTGGTGCGGCTTTGTAGTTTACTGAAGTCGTGTTGCGACACCCGAGTGGATTCGTGTATGGCTCTGGCTTGCGGGGTGTGCGGTCATTTTTTGGTGGGCTTAGAGGCTTAAGAGCGAGTCTGTTTTGGCTTCATAATTTTTGTTTATTTTATAAGATAAGATAATAATAAGATAAGATAATCCTTTATTGTCTCCCATGGGAGAAATTTGTCTTGGGACAGGGGGTAACATGTTTTATCAAAAAACAGGACAACACAACACAAAGCAGCACATAAACAAACACCATAAAACATGAAAAAATAAATATGAGACCAGTATGACCACGAGTGAAGCACCAACAGGACCCTTAAATTATCCTTAACAGGCAAACCCTTGCATTCTTCTGTTCTATTAATTATTGCACATTCCCTAAGCCTATGTGCAGTTATGTAACGCTTTAGTGGTCATTGTGCTGCTTTTTGCAACTAGAGCTTCTCAAATTGTTTAACTCACCAGCTCTTAAAGGTTGTACGGAGGATTTTTTTTTTTTTTTTGGTTTCGAATTGTCAATGAAAGTTCAAACTAGCATTATAGAGATGCAGCAGCCTTGTAATTATGATGACCAAAAAAAAAAAAAGAATGAAAATCCATCAACTGTGGACGAGGTAGGGCCAGATAAACATTAGCCAATGGATAACAAGGCTACAAGGTTGTCAATTAAACTCCCTACGTTTCTAGCATCACTGACTCGCCGGTGCGCTGGAATTACTTGGGTTACTACGTGGATCTTAGCGGCTTTTTCGAACTGTAGCTTCCTTGCAGTTACCACAAAGTCTGTTGCAATGGCAAACAAGAATCCACGACCAGTTACCCGCAAAAGAAAGTCAGTTTTTGAGACAAACTAAGGTGATTCTTGGAGATTCCTTCCAGCGATGGGCGTGCACTGAAGCAGACGAAGGATCTAAAGACTGACGCGTTGGTCGCTAAATTACTTCTGGACAGGTAACTTCAACAGCAATTCGTTCCGCAATTCTGAACGCGCAGCAGCTGTAAACAAGCATGATTTCCAGCGTAAGGAGGAGGCGTGTGGAGGCGTTTCTGTTTAGGGAGCTGTGGAGAAGTGGAGGGTCATGCATGCGCAACATCTGAAAAAGCAAAATCCTCTATACAACCTTTATCTTTTTTTTTTTCAAAGGTAAATTCAGCGGGAAAAATCTCACAAGATCATTTTTATGTGCACATCTTGAGATAATTTTGTCTTCAGAGATCTTGTGAAATCTTAAAATCTGTCATAAGTCATTTAATTCAACTTTTAACATCTTAAATCATATCATATGGGCAAGAAATAACCACAAATTTGCTGGTAGTGTCAAGGTAAAGCAGAGGTGGGGACTTGAGAGTCACGACTTGGACTCGAGTCAAACTTGAGTCACTATTTTTAGGACTTGAGGCTTGATTTGATGAAACTGACTAAGACTTGGGACTCGACTTGAACTTAAAGCTCAATGACTTGGGAATTGACTCGGACTTGAGGCCTGTGACTTGAGAAGACTTGATGCTTCTCCTAAAAAAAATATGGTTTTAGAAAATACAGTTGATAAATGTGGCGTTTAATTTTAAAGGAACAAACTGTAACATGTTGCTCCCACTTCTGTTTGGTACTTTGGATGGAACTGAAGTACTGTGAGATGGTATCCTCAAATGTACTACAGTAATACACAGAACAATACAGTAATATACAGAACAATACAGTAAAACAGAGCGATCTACATTGTACATGATTCTTTTGTTTCAGTAGAGACACATGACAAAATAACTTTAATTAAGCACTTTGCAAAAATTGCAAAAATCTAAGCTATATTTGGTACTTTGGTTTAAAGACTTGAAATGACTCGAGGCTCAAAGCAGACGACTTGGACTTGACTTGGACTTATGGGCCAGTGACTCAAGACTCGACTTGGACTTGCCTGTATTTGACTTGGCAGTTGACTCGGACTTGAGGTCAAAGACTTGAGACTTACTTGAGACTTACAAAACAAAGACTTGGTCCCACCTCTGAGAAAAAGTACAGACAGTAAATATTTACTCCCAAAAAAATATTGTTCAAGGTTTCGTATATTGATCGATAAGTCGATTTAGTAATTATTGTGACACCCCTAATTCTTGAATTGGTTTGTCAGTGCATATTCCAGTCTTTACTGTTTTCTACTACTTATTTTCCATATTTTACTGACTACAAAACACATACATACACAAAAATATCTGCTAGATGAAAATATTAAAAGACTAAGTACCCATTTTTGATATCGACTAATACTTTAAGACATAACAGTTTTTATATTTTAGTACTTTTACATCAATAAAGATGTGTTGTGTAACTTTTCTTTTATGAGGATGTTATTGCTTGTTTCGTAGTATGTCATTAAACCTTTTTGTCTTCATGGAGACCAAAGCAGGCCAAGTTACAGGTCAGATCTGTGGAGAGGCGACCCCGTTCACTGTCAGAATGCCTCTTTTTCTAGGCATCTTTGAGCTATAAAACCACCTGTAATTAAATAAATGTAAGGTAGATCTGTTTAATGTCATACTGTGGGACATTCCAAGCAGAGCAGTGACCAAAAACTCAAAAAGTTACACAGTGCACCTTTAATGTCTATGTTGTTTAGAAAGATATTTTGCGATCACGGAGCCCAGTGGTTCAGAAAGCTGTATCTTTAACTATATTGGTTGTCTCGTCTTCCCACGGACCGCACACAGGATTTTA